CTCTGCCCCCTCCTTCCGTCCCCCCCCCAGGTGCCCGGCGTGAAGGAGATCCTGCTGATGGGCTTCTACCAGCCCCACGAGGCCCTCAGCCGCTTCTTGGTGTCAGCGCAACAGGAGTTCAAGATCCCCATCAGGTGGGCAGGAGCTCTCACACCCCTGAGGTACCGTCGGCGGCACAGTTTGGCTCAGCCCCGCACCTGCCTCCCCCGGGCTGGCAGTCCCCAGCCAGCACCAGAGCCAGCCCTGTCCCACCGTGGATGGCCAGAGCTAGCCTCCAGCGTTAGCTCTGCGCAGTTTCCCTTGCCCTGGGCCCTGCCTTGGCTAGTTCCTGCTCCAAAGATACCTCTCCAGCACAGCTCCAAGCTGCCATAGTTTTCCACCCCTCTGCCAGCGTCTGCGCGAGCCCAGTCACTATATGGCAGGATTATGTCTCTCCAGCCCCTGCCTGGCCATCCGTGCCCTGCTGCTGGTTGGTGTCAGCAGACACCCGCCTCCCTAAGCCCTCACTTTTCCCTGCTTGGCTCGCAGGTACCTCCAGGAGTATGCAGCACTGGGCACGGGTGGTGGCATCTATCACTTCCGAGACCAGATCCTGTCAGGTGGTGCTGAGGCCTTCTTTGTCCTCAACGCAGACGTATGCTCAGAGTTCCCCTTGCAGGAGATGCTGGAGTTTCGGCAGCAGCACGGGGATGCGCACAGCTTTGTCATTCTGGGTACCACAGTGAGTGGCGGTGCTGGGGAGCAGAGGAGCAGTGGTGCTCTGCCGTGGGCTTGTTGAGAAGCCAGCGGCTCTAGTGGTGGATGGGTCTCTAGGTGTGAGCTTCTCTGCTGCTCCACCATTGCTGACACATCCTCCTTCCACAGGCAAACAGGACGCAGGCGCTGAATTACGGCTGTATCGTGGCAAATGCAGACACGCAGGAGGTACCAAGGGCCTCGGGGAGCTGGGAGCAGCGTGGGCAGTGGGTGCTGCACTGTCCATGTGGGCACATGTTTCTGGCCTGCCACAGAGGGTGTGACGCCGGGTGTGGGGGCTGCACCTCGGGACTTGCATCTCTTCCTTCGCCTCCAGGTCCAGCACTACGTGGAGAAGCCCAGCACTTTTGTCAGTGAGATCATTAACTGTGGCATCTACCTGTTCACACCTGCCATCTTCCAGCACATCGGTGAGGTCTTCCAGAGGAACCAGCAGGAGCTAGTGCTGTGAGTGCCTCTCTCTGCCCCACGCCCCTCCCACCCCACTGCTTCCCAAGGCTGCAGCGGCACGCTCATCCTCCATTCTTTCTCTATCTTCTCTCCTCCTCTGCCATCACTCACTTGTTTCCTGGTCCTGCACCAGCTGTCCTTACCTTGGGTAAGTCTCCCTCTGTGTCTGCAATGGCTGCTCTCCAGCATGGATTGTCCCTGGCAGTAACGCATGCTTTCCTCTCTGCTCCAGGCCACTCTGCAAGGCTGCTCTTTTCTCTGCTCCCCTCCTGGCCAGCTTGAGACTGCCCCTCTCCCGTTCTCTCCTCCCAACCCATCCTCATTCAGCTCAGCACAAGGGGCTGAGTGAGCCCATCACCTGGGAATGCTTTGCTCCCCCTCCAGCTCTTTACACCAGCCAGCCTGTCACCTGACATCTCTGCCACCACCCGAGCAAAAATCCAGCTGTGCAGGGCTGTATCGCTTGTATACCTGCCTGTACTGGGTGGGGCTCTTGTACCATCAACTTCTGGCTTAGAGTTTATTTCAGTTGGCAGAGCCCCATCCCTCTGCTGCGCTGGGGCTCAGTGGGGCTGGGCAGGCCTAGCCTGACAGCTGGGGCTATCCTCACCTTTGGTAAGAAGTGCATGGCGAGGTAGGAGTCTAGGGTTGCCGGAGCCCCTGGATTTGGGGAGGGTAGCTGCTGGGTTCCCTGGCTGAGGCTGTGACTTGGGTGGGTATCTAATGGGCCTCTCACTTGCAGAGAGGAGAGTTCCAATGGCTGGCAGCGTGCAGAAGTGATCCGACTAGAGCAGGATGTTTTCACAGCTCTGGCTGGGAGTGGCAAACTCTTCGTCTACAAAACTGATGGCTTCTGGAGTCAGATCAAGTCAGCTGGGTAAGGGCTGGGGCTAGAGCTGGTGCAACAGAAACATCAAGTGATCCCTACCAGGGATGGGAGAGGAATGTGCCCAGGCAGGGCCCTGGGGTTGAGGCTATTGAATACAGACCCTTTTCTGCCCTGGTAGTGCCAAAGAGACAGTAACAGTCTTGCTTTTCCTCCCTCAGCTCTGCTATCTACGCCAGTCGTCTTTACCTGAACCAGTACAGCAAAAGCCACCCTGAGAGGCTGGCCCAGAACAAACCTGGAGGCCCTATCATCCGAGGTACCTCTTTGCCAGCCCCCACCACCTTGGGGGTTGCCTGGGGAGGCAGTGGGACCCACAAGCAGGACCTCCCCTGACCTGAGAGGCTGGTGCTCCTGTGAGCTGCCTACCCTGATGCAGCTGCCTTGTGTTGCAGGGAATGTGTACATCCACCCTACGGCCTCCATCGACAGCACGGCAGTGGTGAGTATGGGCCTGGGGGGCACTGCGGTGCCCTGTGGCAGGGTGATGCTTGGGGGTGCCGAGGGCGCTTTTGCCCTCGACCTTATCACCTCTCTCTATCCTCATAGCTGGGCCCCAATGTCTCCATTGGTGAGGGGGTGACAGTGGGAGCTGGTGTGCGTGTGCGAGAGTCCATTGTCCTGCATGGCGCCTCACTCCACGTAAGTAAGGTTTGCCTGGGGGTGTGGGTGTCAACTCCTACCCCTTGCAGGGAGGCAGCAGCACCTTTCATCACCCTTTCCTTGGCCCCAGGACCACACCTGTGTCCTCAATACTATCGTGGGCTGGGACAGCACCATTGGGCGCTGGGCCCGGGTTGAAGGAACACCCAGTGACCCTAACCCCAACGATCCCTATGCCAAGATCGACAGCGAGACCCTTTTCCGGGACGGGCGCCTTACACCATCCATCACAATCCTGGGTACGTCCCCCCTGCCCCAGCCACTGCAGCCCCACCAGTGGGGCAGACTGTCCCTTCGCACTAACTCCCTTGTGCTCCCCCTCTAGGCTGCAGCGTCACCATCCCCGCTGAGGTTGTTATTCTTAACTCCATCGTCCTTCCTCACAAGGAGCTGAGCCGCAGCTACAAAAACCAGATTATCCTGTGAGTTAGTGGCTTGCTGGGTTGGGGGGCCCAGGGCCAGCCACCCACTCCCTGCCATGCCCCACAGCAAGAGCGTCTGCTGAGACTTCATCTTCTGGGAGGTTCCCAGCACCCCCAGAGGGGTAAGGTGTAGGCCAGGAGCCCTGCAAGTGCCTGACTCCTATTCCAGAGATTAAAGCTGGTGAGAACCAGCCTCACATGCTGCTTCTCTTGCAGCCCAGGGACCAGCCCTGGGGCAGGGTGGAGGCTTTAGGGACAGCATGTGGCCCTGGCACTAGGCTGCACACCTGTGCAGGGAGCCATAGCCTGAGGCTGTTGAGGGAGCACTTGCTGCCTGCAGCTTCTTGGGTCCAGCTTTGGGTCTTTCTCCAACAAAGGGCACTACCAGCACCATCTTACCACCCCTCACCAGGCTCTCCCTGCATCAGTTGCTGTCTGCAAGACCCTGGAAGGTCCTGGCCCATCTTAAAGGCCAGGGAGCTCTGAATGTGCCTGTCCTGTGGCAGCAGCTCACCCCACAGGAACCAGTTGTGAGGATTCCAGTTCCAGCAGTGTGATTGCAACAGCCTGATCTGGGCTCCTGCCTACTGCTGGAAAAACAGCAGCACCAGGCTGTCTTCAGGGCACTGGCACACAGGGCTGGGTTGGACAGGCAGGCTGCTGGCCCTGGAGGGAGCAGCAAAAGCTCAGTAGGAGCCAGGATTGCTGCCAGCCCTGCCAAGCCTGCTCCTGTCAGGCTGAGACCTGTGCAGGCTGCCTAGGCAGGGCTCAGGGTGACGGCAGCGTGCCCCTGCCACCCTGGTGGGAGAACAGCCTCCCCTGCACCCCAACATAGGTGCAGCTTGGAGGGGCTCTCGCTGCATATCTTCCCCTCTCGCTAGCCACATCCCCAGGGCACCAGAGCAATCAACTTATGTGCATGCAGGTGGCAGAAATCTACTGCCTCACTGTCTCAGAGTGTTTTTATTGAAGGCAGCTCCCTGCTGATCCTGGCACAGTCTATGATAACCAACACTGCCCTTTATCCACTTACATCACCATCTTTGCCTCTGGTTTTGGAGCTCTCTGCTAAAGCCCTGCACTCCACTGAGGGCCCCATCATGCCTCTTACCTTCAAGCAAGGCACTGCATTAGGGATTCTCCATCCATCCAGTACCACCCCAGCTCGATGGATTTGCAGCAAATCCTTGCTCCCAGCCCTGTGCCTTCCTGTGCCAGTTCTCCTGTGGTCCTGGGCGGGGATTAGCTGTTCCTTGGCTTTAAGCACATTAAACTCCTTCAGTTTTGCCTCTGCCTTGGATGTGCTAATTTCCTTGCCCGCTGGTGAACACCCCTGTGCTGGGGGAAACTGAGCCAGAGTACTTGCTTCCAGGATTGTACATAAATTTTCTCCTATGTCCCACATCTGGCCTGGCTTTTACTATGGACAAAGGTTTCTTGGCTGCTGGACACAGCCCTAGGGCAGTTCTCAGCCCTGTTGTGTAATGCCCCTTTTCCCTAAGCTCCCCTGGCAGTGGCTGTCACTTGTGCAGAGTTATCTGGGTGACAAGCCCTTCCTGGGCCCTTGCGCCATTACAGCTTCATCCTGCTTCCCCCTCTTGGCAGGAGCAAGCTGTGCATCCCAGCCTTGCTTGGGCTTTGCAGCTCCAGCTCCGGGGCTGGAGGGGAGGAAGGAGTTAAAGGGGCCTCAGCTGAGGTGCCAGGAAGTCTGGAAACGCTTTAATAAGCTTGTCCTGCCCTGAGAAGCAGCAGCTCTGATTACTTGAGGCCAACATCTGGGCTGAAAGAAGGGCCTCCCGCATCCTGGGCTCCAGGGCAGGGAGAGGAGGGCTCTGCCTCCCCTTCCCAGCAAATGCAGGGGTTTTGGGGAGCACAGCTCACCCTTGCTGTCAGTACAGTTTTTGTCTGCTACTCAGCCAGGCTCCATCGTGCCAGTGAGCCCCAAACCCTGGCAACCGGGCAGCAGCAGGGAGGGACAGACAGCAGCCACAGCCAACCTTGTTTTGCTGCAAAAATTTAATACAAACCAAGTCTTAAGTACAGTGCTGGGACAGTGTCTCCACCACCACAGCTGGGCAGATCCAGCCCTGCTCCCCAGTCCCCAGGGAAGCAGAGCAGGGCTTGGAGCTGGGCACCACCAGCCCACAGGCAGCTGCCTGGTCCCGCAGGCTTCGCTCCTCCTCCAGTGCCAGCTCCATGTCCCCGGGGAGCCACTGCTGCAGGCTACACTGGAGAAGGGAAGAACCGGCCCACCTTCCTCGGGGCTGGCCCCTGACTGCGTGGGGAGAGGTGAGTCAGGGGTGCAAAGCGAGTTCCCCTGGGCCCCCCACCCACACCCAGCAGCACTCACGGGGGCCGTGTGGCCGTGCCCACGCAGCTCCGCAGTGTGCTGGGAAGGCAGCAGGTGCCAACTGGGCTCAGCTGGCCCGGCTTGGGCTCCAGGGGGGTGATGGGGCAGAAGAGCAGCTCTGCAGGACAGAGTGGGGGACGCTTATCACACCCCAGCCCAGCTGCAGGCACCCAGGACCCTTCAGCAGCCACAGGGGAGGGGGCCAGGGCTCATGTGCCTCACCGTGTTCACCCCCTGGGGCTGGTGTTGGCACCAAGTTCTCCTGCTCCATCCCCAGGAAGCCTCTCCAGAAGTCAGGTGGCAGCGAGAGGAGCCGAGTCAGCACCTGGGCAAGGACGGATGAAGGATGGGGATGCTGGCAACACCCGGGGTACACCCTGTGCCTCAGGGACCCCCTCACCTTGCACTGTCGTGGCGTGTCCTCCATGATGGTGAGTGGTGTGGGGTTGGCCGAGCTGTGTCCTACCAGTGTGGGACCAAACACACGGGACAAGTTGAGGACATCCATCTTGCAGTCAGGGCTGCGCGACACCCTGAGGGGTGGGGCGGTGTGAGCACGCTGCCCTCCACCAAGGGCACCCCTATCCTCAGCTCAGCTTTGCCACTCTGTCGCATGGAGCCAGGGCAAAGAGCTGGGACGTGGGGACAGACCCATAGGGCCCCATGCCAGGATGAGCCCCTCACCTGAGCAAGTGCAGCATAAGGAAGGCCAGGGTGTCCCTGTTGGCTGGGGGCAGCTTGCTCACCACGTGGCGCAGGGCTGTGCCGCAGGCAGCATCATCCAGGATGTCTGTGGCAGCACCGGGGAGCAGTGTTAGGGGATGAACAGCCCTTTCCCCCACCCCTGCCCCACCGCAGGACCCCCACTCACCGGCAGCCTGCAGGAAGGTAGGGTGGAGGCTGAAGGTGACCAGTGGCTCCTTGAGACCCCGCAGGAAGTCCTTGAGCACCCCACACACCACATGGATGTCAGCCACGCTGCTGAGGGCAGGGAGTGTGCCCCCGGCCCGCAGCAGCCTCCGCTTCCACTCCCGTACCAGCTGCTCTGTGCCCGGCACCCGGTAGAGCCCTGTCTGCACAGGGAGAGGGGCTCAGCCCCACAGGGACCATGGCATCAGCACCCCCACCGCCCTTGCCCCTACCTCTGTCAAGCCTCGTCTCTCCACCTCGGTCACACACTGCACCACCAGCGCAGGCACCAGGGGTGGTCGGGGGGGAGCAAAGTCAGCCAGCACACCCTGGGGAGGACAACAGCAACCCGCTCTGTTCCCACACCCAGCCCTGCAGCTGGGGTGAGCAGAGTCCCAGTATCCCAGGGCCGATAGCCCAGTGGCCCCACAGGGACATGGAACAGCCCCCAAGAACCACTGTGCTGCCTCTTACCTCACGGGGCCAGACGTGGTGGCAAGGCCGTGACACACAGGGGCTGGGGCACTGCTCCCGGCACTTGGGGTGCAGCAGCAGCTGGCACTGGCGGCACTTGATGGCAGCCTTCCCAAAGCGGATGCGGGAGCCGCAGGCACTGCATGGCTCAGGGCGGATCACCTGGAGAAGGGGAGCAGGGTCAGGGACTCCTCCTTCCAGATACCCAGTACCACTCCTTCATCCCCCCCAAACCAGCCCCCACTGCCTCTATCCATCCCCTGGGCAGAGCTGGGCTGAGGGGGCTGGAGGAGAGCTTTGCCTCCCCCCGACCCAGTCCCCTGTCCAGCTCCTTTCTCCATAGCAGCCAAGAGGAGGGAGAGGCTGGGACACACACCATTTTGGAGATGAACTGGTGCTGGAGTGGCGGGAGGCCCTGTGGAGGCGAGGTGAAGGGGGCTGGCGCTGGCTGCCCCATGGAGCCACCCTCAGTGTGGCTCTCCTGTCCCAGGGCATGGCAGCCCAGATCCTCACTGGTGCCCCACACTGTGGTCAGCTCTGCAGAGAGAGGAGGCAATGGAGGGGGCCCAAAAGGCACACCACCCCAGCTCCTGGCTGGGATGTGGGGAAGCTTCCCATCTCCCAGGGAGATCCCACAGCATGCCAGCTGCCCAGGGACAGAGGCATCTGGCATGTCCAGATGACCACTGTACCCCCATGGGGAGGGCAAGCACCCCCCAGCAGATCCTCTCCCTCCCCTGGGACAGCAGCACCCTGAGACTGGTCCCACACCACCCATGAACCCTCTCCTCAGCCCTTCCCATGACCTGCACGCATGGAGACATGATGTCCCTGGCGAGAGCGGCGGCGTGGCACCAGAGCAGTGGGCAGGAGGCTGGCAGCAGGGCCTGGAGCCTCGGCAGGAGGGGGCACAGGGGGGACACTCGCCTGCTGAGATTGGGGGTAGTGAGAAGGTGCCTGGCTGCAGCCCCACTGTGTTCCAACATCTCCCCATGAGCTCTGCTCCACCCACTCCCCATCCCTGCAGTTAGGCACTGCCAGGGATGCTGACACCATGGGTATGGGGAGATTCAGACACCCAGAGGGGACAGCTGAGCACCTCCAGAACCCAGAGCAGCTTCGGGCCTGCAAGCATGTGAGGACTCAAGGTTGTAGCATTGCCTTCTGACACTGGGGCAGCCCACGCACCCCATCCCTGACCAGAGCACACTGCAGTCCCTACTCACGACATTGTGGGGTGCCACAGAAGAACGGTGCCGCTTCGCCACCACCACAGGGCCAATCTGAGGGGCTAGGGACATGCGCTGGGGACAGAAAAGATGGGGTGAAGGGTAGACAGGGACAGTCTCCCTGACTCTGCACCCCCCACCCCAGAGCACTCAAGCTAAGTGGTCTCAGCCCCACAAAAGGTCCCGGTTTCACCCTGCCCCACACCAGGCACTGTGGGGACCCACCTGGGTTGGGGCCAGCCCTGGGGCTGAGGGAGGCCAGGACAGGCCTGCAATGCAGAGGTGTGAGTGGAGCGGGGTGTGGGATGCCCACACGTGGGGATGAATTATTGAGGAGCCCTGCTGGGCCACGGTGGAGGGTAATGGAGTTTCTATTGATTGTGGGAGGTTTGCTGAGAGATGACGTTCCCAGCCCAGAATCAATAAATTAATTCCCCCTGCCAGGCTTCTTGCAGCCTCCTGTGCTGGGATGGAGAAGTATCTGGGCACCCTAATCCTGTGTGGCCCATGGCCAGCACCCCAGCCTGGGCTGCCAACCAGTGTGGGCAGAGGGTCCCAGAGACACAGTGCAGGAGAGCAGAGCAGACCTGAGGGATCCTCACCCACACAGAGGGACAGACGCCCCCTCAGGACCAGCCACCACAAGCTGCCACCTCCCAACATTTCCCTCGTACCTGCCTCTCCTGGGCTTTGCGCTTCAGGGTCCGCACCACTGTTGTATCAACATCCTGAAAGGCAGTAGGGAGGTTGGAGTTCGCAGGACTGCACCAGGCTGGGAGAACCCTCAGCAACCATTCTCCAGCTCTGGCAGCAGCCCAGGGCATCCCGCCCCTAAACATGGCCATGCAAAGGGCTGCCCCACTGCAGGAGTGGGGCAAACCTGTCCTGTCACTGCTGGGGAGAAGGTGAACCCTGGGACTCGCCTGGGACAGGTTGTGCCTTACCACCTCGTCCTCTGTGCGGTCATAGCTGATGTCTGAGTGGGACAGGAGGGACTGGCAGGACTCATCCACTGCAGACGACCTGTGGAACGAGCTGGGGGTCAGCCCGGCTGGGGGAACCCACCCCCCAGCCAGCATCTACTTGTACAGCCGCTCCTGAGACCCATGAGCTGACACCTGCAGAGCATCCCTGTGCCCGCCCAGCCCCTCTAACCCAGCAGAAGTGAGGGGGAGAGGGGCACAGCCGAGCCCAAGGGCCACCAGCCCTGCTCACCTCCTGCCTGGCACCAGGGCCGCCCCGAGGCGCCGGCCGGCCAGGGCGCTGAGTACGGAGCACTGCTCCCCGCTCAGCACCCCGCTGCCCCACGGCTCCCGCATCAAGGACTCGAAGACCAGCTGAAGCTTGCGCTCCTGTAGGCGAAACAGGGCTGTGGTGAGTGGGCTGGGATCCCCGCAGCCAGCCCAAGGGGGCGTCCCTGCGGCCAGCCCCCCCGACCTGCTTCTCCAGCTCAGCCTCTGCTCGATGCCGCTTCTTCATCTCCACCTCCACCTGGTTCCGGGCATGTTTGAGTTTCACCTCCAAGGCCGCCCGCTCGGCTTCCACACGGGCCAGCTGCTCCCGGGCCCGCTGCCCGTCCTGCTCCAGGCGGCAGCATCTCTGGCGCGTCGCCTCGAAGCACCGAGCGATCTGGATGTAGTCTGGGGGCAACACAAGTGGGTGGCCAGCCGGGATAGGGGGGGCCAGCCCCAGCTCCCCCAGCCCCCACTGGGGGCAGAGCCGAGGGTCCGGGCTGCGTTCACCCACCTTCCTCCGCGCTGCCGCCGAGCTCCAGCAGCTGCAGCACCCGCTCCAGACGGGCCAGGAGCCGCCCGCAGCGCTGCCGCAGCATCCCGCCGCCCTGCGACGGGCCGGGACCCCCCCTCCTTCCCACCCCTCCCGGGGG